GGATAAATGAAGGAATATGACAACTCAATTCTGTATTCACATTAAAGCATGAAAGATCGTAGTACCTTCAAAATATTACCTGTGGTTATCCCAGAGTCTATCAATTGACCCTTGAGAAGGTCGAATTTTTCAGGAGTCAGCTTGTTCAATATTCTGCAGGAAAAGCGATAAGTATCAATTTAACACGATAAGGTTCGCAGAGACTCATTTAAAAAATCACCTCTTTCTACTATTCTTAATTTTCTGTCTGTACAGCAAAATATTTTGAGGAACTAAACAACAAAGGGGCAAGTCATAACATGGCATACATAATGCTTAATTGTTAAGAAGGATATGAACTCCGAAATTAGCCCACTTCCTAGAAAAAGGAAAATTCCAGCATAACTGAGATACATGTGTGCATTAAATGTAGTAGATATAAAATAGATTACCCCTTCACTGTTTTCAACACACGGTCTTCCTCAGAAAGAGTTCCCCTTCGAGCAGACCATGGTACCTCAGCCTTGATTAGAGTCGGTGCAACCTGTTTCATCAGCAACACAGGAAATACTCAATATTGTTAGAAAAGGTATCAAACAGGATATCGCAGATGAGGGAAGAGGAACAGGGGAAGATATCTTAAGAGATTTGCTCGCAAAAAAATCTTAGAACACGATTCAAGGATCCAAGAAAATGTGGCAACTGCTCTAGTTATTCTTGTAAACGTATTGTAACAATTTATCTAACAGAAGTAAATTACCCCTTGGTTTGAAGAAAATTGTGATCTAGCAAACTGCGAATTCATCTGATCTTGCTTATTGTATTGGTTACCATCTTGTTGCCTGGGGTCAAACCTGCCACTGAAGTCTCGATCTTTTATTGTCTCCCAGGATCTCTCCTCCACAGGGGCAGGTAATTGTGCAGAACGATTACGCCAGTCACGATTGTCCGGCTCAGAATAACGAGTCTGAGCCTGACTCGGGAGCTACATATAAAAAAAAAGACATTTAATAAATATATCGAGGTAAATATGAATAATGAAAATAAATAAAGAAATAAAAACAACAAGGGAATGAATGAAAAGTAACTGGCTTCAACAAGTTCAATGGACCACAAAGAGATACCGAACTAAAGAATCAAGCTTTAGTTGTGATTCATTTTGATAACAAGAAATGAAGAGATTAATAAATGCAGAATAAAAACTTACATTGGTTTCTCCACGACTCCAACTTGGATCTACACCAAAAAACTCGGCTTCAACTTCTTGTTTGACTCTTAAAATATCCTCTGAGATGATGGCCACCTACAAAGAGAATATACAAAATTGGCAGATTTTAGAAACAGCATCAAAACCAGCATTTGGCGGCAACAGCAATCCACAAGATGATATGAACATTATCAGTTCCAAATGAGGACAAAAGAACATCTAATTTGAGCAATTGAGACAAGCTATCGCAGAGGCATTAAATTATGACAGGAATTAAAAAATACAGGAATTATCCCTACTAAGTAGCGGGTAAGAATGAAATAATGGAGAGACTGTAACAGCAATGAAAATTGTCATTGAAAAGCAACGACAGATGTCATGAAACTGAAATGAATAAAGCTAATTCCTTTTAAAGATGTTCTTGTGATGTCAAATCCCAGAAATGAACTAGATATTATAGAAAGTAACATAAAGTGACAACAATATCCATTCTTGTACACACGTAGACCGAGAAGAAGCCTTACCTCCCTTAGCTGAAGGAGCATGTCTTTAGTAAAACGGATGCGCTCATGGCCCTCAAATCGAGACTCTCCGGTCTATTACAAATTAAAAAAAAATAGAGTGAACACTTGTCTTAAGAAAGCAAAAATCAGGTTTCCAGCAGACCAATAATCACAAAATGCAAGATATATAACATCATATCGTAAGGTTTCCCTGAATGACAAGTAATCGAAATCGGTCACTACAAGAATGAACTACCATATATATGATATTAATTCCTACACTACCTAAGATGGCTACAAGTACCGGCAAAATGACAAAAAATAAGAGGTGATTGCATTCTTATTCAATCATCACATATTTAGACACAAGAAACAGAGCAAGGTAGAACGAGGTCCAAACTAATAATTATTATAGATGAAACCTAAAGTACCACATTCAAATGCTGCAAGCATAAACCTCGTTATCTAACGGAAAAATCACATCAACTATTCCATGAAATACCGTCTTTTAGATAATCCACAGTTGTACAAATTAAAAGCATGAAACATAATCCGCCGTTCCAGTAGGCGACTCAAAGGCATAAAAAGGAAGAAAATACAGTATACTATATCTACCAGAAGCTCAATTCTAGACATATGAACATATATATACAAGCATCAATTAGCTATCTTTAGTTGACAAAAAGGGAAAATTCCCAAAACATAGTAAACTTCTTGCCACGACTCTATAAGCCATATCTGAACTTTTTAAATTTAAAAAAAAAACAGTGATTGGTGCTTATTATAACTAGACTAACAGACAATCTGATGGATTTAGATACAACTAGTCAAACAAATTTAGTATATACATAAACGCATACAAAAGTAAGTAACTTTCTGATTCAGACTCATCCAATCGGGGAAAAAAAATTAATTCCTAAAAAATCACAAGAAATCATGAAAACCTAGATCTGAAACAGAATTGAGAGAAGAAGCAACCTTGAAGGAAGGTAGGGAAGAAACAGCGGAATCGCCATGGGGACGGAGGAGCGGGAGATCGGAATTGGCGGCCGCCGCCGACAACGAACCGAAGCGGGGGCCGAATACTCTGCTTCCGCCTCGAGTGCCGCCACCTGGTCTCAAGCTCAAAAACGTCTGATCAGCCTGCATAACTCGCAAAAACAATAATCTCTTTGAATCCAATCACCACAAATTCTATCTCGGGGAAACAATTGATCTATATATAAGCAATGCTTGTATATAGATTTTTATTCCTACGAATAAAAAAAAAGAAATCTTTATAGTTCAGAAGAAGATAGAAGAGAGATAGGGGAAGAGGATTAGAGATTTTAGAGAGAGATAATTTTGGTTTCCTCTCTCTACAGGGAGGAGAAGAAGAAGTGGTGGAAAAGGGGAGGGTATGTTTATGTAATTGAAAGTGGAGAGAGAGAGAGGCGATTTAGAGAGAGAAAGAGAGTTTAAAACCCTTATTTGGTGGTGGGGGTGGGGTGGGGTGGGGTGGGGTGGGGTTGATTTTTGGAGGGGCTTTTTGGTAATATGACTTTATTAAACTTGCCCTTTATTGACTTTTTGGGTTTGGATTTGTTGGATAAAATATCTCCACCCAATATAATTTTTAAAATCTATTATTTTCTTGTTTGAAATATGTTTTTAAAGATTTAGTACAATATCAATTTAAAAATTATTTTGTGCTATTGAAACACATTTCAAATGGAAAAAAAAGAGTTAATAGCACTTAACCCCCGTGATCTGAACTTTGTGCACATGACCTAACGAATTTTGATGACAATTTGACATTTTTGCCCTTGTGGTGGGGTGTGCTCGGATTTTGCAATTTTGGGCCATTAAATCAATTTTAAGCATGATTATTTACCAAGTGAAACACTATAGTGGCATATATGTTTATATTAAAAAATACAAGAGAATTATGTGCACAAAGTTCAAACTACATGGAGGTCATGGCTATTTATCAAGAAGAAAACACTAGATGAAATTTAGGTGAGGGAATTGATATTTTTGCCCTTTTCGGCCCTCTATGAACCTTTGGTAACAATTTGACATTTTTACCCTTGTGTGTCCTACTTTGCAATTTTGGGCCTTTAAATCAATTTCATATTTCATAATGGATTGACACAATTCATCCACTTCACCAAGGTATTATTATCATTACGTTAATATTTAAAGAAAATAATAAAAGAATATATTGTTACATTATTTGAATAGTATTACAATAATATATTTTCAAAATGCACATCCTGTTACAAATTTTATTGCAAACATAAATTGACAAGTCTAATCCTTTTTCTTTAAATAAAAATATTTTAGTAATTTTAATTAGCAAATAATTACCAAAATAGCCAAAATCATACTTAACATAGAACAATACGAAATAATCAGTAATTAATCGTACTTTATTTAGTTATTACATTGATCTAACATCCACATCTAACCACTATTTACACAAGCAGCAAAAACCAAAAAGGAAAATACAAAACAAACTGAAAATCAAAACACACAAAAAAACACACCAAACACTCCTTAAAAAACTCCCTAAGAACCAAAATCTAATCAACTTCCTCAATCTTCGGCCCCGCCCTACCGCCGGAGCTCGCCCCACCACCGGAGCTTCCACCGCCACCACCCGCCACATCATCATCCATCGGAGCACCACCATCGCCGCCGCCACTCTGATACATCTTAGAAATAATGGGATTGCAAATCCCCTCCAACTCCTTCAACCTATCCTCAAGCTCATCCACCTCAGCCAGCTGATTCTTCTCCAGCCACTCCACACACTCCTCCACCGTCTTCTCGATCCTCGCCTTGTCGCCGGAATCCAACTTTCCGGCAAACTTCTCGTCCCTCACCGTATTCCTCATGTTGTACGCGTAATTCTCCAACGCATTCTTCGCCTCCACTTTCCTCTTCACTTCCTCGTCCTCCGCCTTGTACCTCTCCGCATCTCTCACCATTTTCTCGATATCGTCTTTACTCAACCGCCCCTTGTCGTTAGTGATCGTAATCTTGTTCTTCACTCCGGCCGTTTTGTCCTCCGCCATCACGTTCAAGATTCCGTTCGCATCTATATCGAACGTCACGTTCACCTGTGGGACCCCCCTCGGAGCAGGCGGAATCCCCGTCAGCTCGAATTTTCCGAGTAAATTATTATCTCTAGTCCTCGCCCTTTCGCCTTCGTAAACTTGGATTAAAACCCCCGGTTGATTATCTGAATAAGTCGAAAAGATCTGCTCTTTCTTCGTCGGAATTGTCGTGTTTCTCGGGATTAAAACCGTCATCACACCGCCCGCAGTTTCGAGGCCTAGAGATAATGGAGTGACGTCGAGTAGTAACAAATCTTGAACTTTCTCGTCGCCTTCTCCGGTGAGGATCGCCGCCTGGACTGCCGCCCCGTAAGCCACCGCCTCGTCGGGGTTTATGCTCTTGCAGAGCTCTTTGCCATTGAAGAAGTCTTGCAGCAGCTGCTGGACTTTCGGGATTCGGGTGGAGCCACCAACTAGAACCACCTCATGGACCGACGATTTATCGATTTTCGCGTCTCGTAAGCATTTTTCGACGGGCTCCATACACCTCATGAACATGTCCATACAGAGCTCTTCAAATCTCGCCCTGGTTATGGTGGCGTAGAAATCAATCCCTTCAAATAATGAATCGACTTCGATTGTCGTTTGCGTGGTGGAGGAGAGGGTTCTTTTCGCTCGTTCGCAGGCGGTTCGGAGTCTTCTTAAAGCCCTGGCGTTTCCGCTTATGTCCTTTTTGTTCTTCCGTCGGAACTCGGAGACGAAGTGGTTGACCAGGCGGTTATCGAAGTCTTCGCCGCCGAGATGAGTGTCGCCGGCGGTGGCTTTCACCTCGAAGATGCCTTCTTCTATAGTGAGTAATGAAACGTCGAAAGTGCCGCCGCCTAAATCGAAGACGAGGATATTCTGCTCGCCGGATCGGGAGCTTTTCTTATCCAGGCCGTAAGCAATTGCGGCGGCAGTGGGTTCGTTTATAATACGAAGGACGTTGAGGCCGGCGATCGCGCCGGCATCTTTCGTTGCCTGTCGCTGAGAGTCGTTAAAATACGCGGGAACCGTTACGACGGCGTTTTTGATCTGGTAACCTAGAAACGATTCGGCGGTTTCCCTCATCTTCGTGAGGACCATTGAAGAGATCTCCTCGGCGGAGAACTGCTTCTGCTCGCCTTTGTAGGTGACGCCGATCATCGGCTTGTCGGCTGGGCCGGGGAGGACCTTGAACGGCCAGAGCTTCATATCGCTCTGGACGGAGGGATCGCTTACGCGGCGGCCGATGAGGCGCTTGGCGTCGAAGACGGTGTTGTGGGGGTTCATCGCCACCTGGTTTTTGGCGGCGTCGCCGATGAGACGCTCGGTGTCGGTGAAAGCTACGTAGGAAGGGGTGGTTCTGTTGCCCTGGTCGTTCGGGATGATCTCCACGCGGTCGTTTAGCCAGACGCCGACGCAGCTGTAGGTTGTGCCGAGGTCTATGCCGATCGCCTTGTTGTTCTCTTTCGTCGTCGCCATTGTTGATCGAATCGAAGCTTTGGAAATTACAGTGGGAAAAAAGACTGGATTTTTATTTTGTTTTATTTTGAAATTTTGCTCCGGCGATTGATTTTTGTTTGATGAGAATGAAAAATTGGGGGAGGGAGTTTATGTATATGTAAATGGAGTGTGATTCGAGAAGATTCTACATAGGGTTTGATGCATGAATGAATGTACTGGAGAATTCGGGAGAGAAGATGGTTAATTTACTAGAGAGTCCTTCGAGAATGTGGGGATTTGCGGAGGAGATGTGAATGGTGTTTGGGGGTAGTTTCGGGAGAAAGAATAAATTGTTGCGGCGGTGGACGGCGAGGTTTATCTCAGGAATTAGGCGGTGGTGAGTTGGAAACGGTGACGTGGGGGCTGCTGAAACGATGTCGTTACGCGTGTCTCTGGAGTGGGAAGGCTGTGTTTGGCTGGAAAGAATAATTACTCTATAAATTAACCACCCAGGTTAAATTACGAAAAAAACTCATTTTATTTGGGTAATTACAACCACCTTTTTAACTATAATTCTTTTTACACGTTCACTCTTATACGGTGTCAAATTTAGTGGAATCTTCTAGATTATATGAAATATTCTCAGTTTTGTACCTATTTTATCTCATTCGAGCTTCACATTTTGAAGCAAGATGATCATAGAAAGTGTTTTTTGGTATGTATGTATCAGATTGTGGTTCATCAAAAACTGCTTTTGTACACAAAACAAGTACAAATTGGAGAACATTCGACAGAATCTAGAAGATTATATTGAATTTGACAACCATAAATGTGACATAACGGTAAGACGATTCATAGTTTAGGGGTATTTAATTATCCAAACATGAGGGATTTTATGTAATTTGAAGCGACTGTAATTTACCTTTTAATTTAATTCATTAATATTTTTAATAATTATTCTTTTTATTTTAATTACTTTCTTTAACAACAAAATTAAATATTTTAAGATTAAAAATTAAATGCTTCAACTAAGAAAACAAATATTTTTAATAGGTTTTCTTTTTTTTGACAATAAATATTTCATATAATTTAGTGACAAGTTTA